TGTTTGGTGGGCATTGACCTTGAGTTTTGGAGTTGTAGTTCACCTACATCCAGAGAGCACTGTGGACTCAAACAATGATGGATCTGGACCAAACTTGGCACGAATACTCAATATGCCCAAATGTGAACAGTGGTGGAGTTTGGGAAAATAGACCTTGACATTTGGGAGTTGTAGTTGCTGGGATTTATAGTTCACCTACAATCAAAGAGCATTCTGAACCCCACCAATGATAGAATTGGCCAAACTTCCCACACAGAACCCCCATGACCAACAGAAAATACTGTGTTTTCTGATGGTCTTTTGGTGACCTCTCTAACACCTCCTCGTGACCCCCCCCCCAGGGGTCCCAACATTGAGAAACGCTGTTGAGATACGCTGGCTTAAATAGTGCCCAAAGGAAGTGACTTCCTCATTTGGCAATTTGGGACTAGAGTGTGTGCATTATTCAGAAGAAAGAAACACATATGCAGAGAGAGAGAAAGAGATCTGCAAAAAAAAAAAAACCAACAACAACAACCAACAAAATTATGTATCTTGGTTTTTGGGGAGAGGGGGAAACAAAGTTTCAACATGCCACAAGAGTGCAGATTTTCTTTTGTGTGTAAGATAAAGGAAAAGAGCCATTTAGAGTCTTAAGAAGTAATGTTGCATTCCCATTGATTTCCTCAACAAAAGGTTGTTTCCATCACCTATAAGAAACAAATGTCTGCATAGAGAGAAATAAAAACAGCCCAGCTGTATCTAATCCAGAGTGGCAGCTCCATAATGACTAGCACAGAAACCTGAAATTTATCCCCAGTTCCCGGGGAAATGACTCCTATTAGTCTCTCGGCTCTCGCCACAGGTAAAACAATTATTTACATTTGGACAAAGGGATCAGGGTGGCTTGGTTTACCGACGTAAAAGATAGGAGCCTTGCGCTGGTTTCTGAATCATTTGCTGAACACCAAGCATAACTGGCAAGGGGAATGTGTAAACGAGGCCAAAGTCTCAAAGCAAAGTCTGAAGACCCTCCAACAGACAGTGTGTCTTGCTGTCTACATTGAAAATTTAAATCCTCTTTGCTGGACGTTGCCCCCAACTGTGGAATTTTGCTGTTTTGGGAAGGCTCTAGGAGCTTCTCATTCCCTATCCCAGAGCTCCTTTAGGAAATTTACCTACAAAATCAGTTTTGAACAAGTCCAGGTTTGTACTGTGAATGTGTCTATCAAAAGTACAATCCTATACATGCCTACTAACAACTAAAGGTTACTTCCGAGTAAGTGGGAGGAAGATTTGGCATCCATAGTGAAGCACAACATACTTCCATTCCATTTAACCTTATTTCAGATGTGCAGTGAGTAACATTTGCTACGTTTTGGAACACCATTCTAGTTTTTTTGGGAGGAGGAGGAGGCAGGTCTTTCGGTCCACACAGAATTGCTTTACCTAATTGTAGGATTGAGCTGTTTCTTTGCACTTTCCCTTATAGTTTCCAACTTATCATCAGCTACTAAATATTGCTATTACACATATGTTCATATTCCAATCAATAGTATTCCATAATTTGGAGCTTTATGGCTTTTTTCCAGTATCAATCTGCACTCGGCCATTTTGATTAGCTGTTATGACCATCTCATGGTAAAGGTAGTCCCATTTATGTTTGATTTTATTATATTATTTTGCACTGTTTATTTTATTTTGTTACTTTATGTATTTTGTTGTGATGCAATTTTTCTGTTTTATGTCTAATTTTGCTGTATTATTTTTGGACTTGGCCTCATGTTAGCTGCCCGAAGTGCCCTTTGGGGAGATAGTGGCAGGGTATAAATAAAGATGATGATGATTATTTATTTATTTATTTATTTCAAAAGACATCTACATCGTATTGGCGAAGGCTTTCATGGCCGGAATCACTAGGTTGTTGTGTGTTTTCTGGGCTGTATGACCATGTTCCAGAAGCATTCTCTCCTGATGTTTCACCTGCATCTATAATAGGCATCCTCAGAGGTTGTGAGGTCTGTTGTAAACTAGGATTGTTTTGTTTAAATATCTGTGCAATATATAAACCTCAATATATATATACCACAGAAATCTATAAACCCAATTTTCCTAGTTTCCCACAGACCTCACAACTTCGGAGGATGCGTGCCATAGATGCAGGTGAAACGTCAGGAGAGAATGCTTCTGGAACATAGCCATACAGCCCAGAAAATAAACAACAACCTGAAGTGTACATCCTTTGTAACACAATTTGTAATATTCATATCTGTGCTTCAGATATTGTAATATTCATATCTGTGCTTCAAGTGACAAAGGAGCTACTGTGGTATAATATTAAAAACTATTTACTGTGGCTTGGCAAATTCTGGTTTGTCTCTATCAAGCAATAAAAAAGTATTTTTTCCAGACATGGTAACCAATTATTAGGATTCAGACACGCCAGTCTTACCATTGTCAGTATAATTTGACTTAAATTTGGTGGAGATTTTTTTTAAGTACACGATTGAGCATCTCTTCTGAAAAACTTCAGAACTGTCCACATAGGTAACTGAGATAGTAACATCTTCGCTTTCTGATGGTTGGATATATACAAACTTCAATTATAGAAATATTGTATACCTTTAGGCTATGTGTATAAGATAAATATTAAACATAAATGTATACTGTGTTTAGATTTGAAGTGCCAGCTCAAAGGTGCCTCATTATGTACATATATGCAAATTACAGGTATTTTGAAATCCTGGAAAAAATCCAAAATCCAAAACACCTCTCATCCCCAGCAATGGATTCAAATTACAGGAGAGGAGATTCCACCTGAACAGTAGGAAGAACTTCCTGACTGTAAGAGCTGTTCAGCAGTGGAACTCTCTGCCTCAGAGTGCCAAACTTCTTCCTTGGAAGCTTTTAAACAGAGGCTGGGTGGCCATCTGTTAAGGGTACTTTGGCTTTTCCTGCATGGCAGGGAGTTGGATTACATGGCCTATGTCAAGTTCAAGTTCACTTTATTACAGTCAGTGGCCAGTTCAAGATGGCCTATGTGTTCTCTTCCAACTCTTAAGAGTCTATGATTTTGGAAAAGGTTATCTAAGTTATCCAGTGGAAGGCCAAACTGGCACCAAGGACTGGATCTGTGAATCTGCCAGTTTCCTAATCCGGAGCTGTGCCAACCCCAAATCCAACACAACACAGGTCTGTGATAATGCATGTTCCTTAAGTATGCAAAGCAGGCCAGTTTTTGTACTAACCCCTTTGGGGAAAAGAGAACAAGTCTGAAGATGTTAGAACTAACACATTTGGCAAGCAACAGAGTCACAATACTTTCCAGATACTGTGTTTCCCTTAGAGATGTTCACTTCTTAATAGTCATCCAAAGCTCATCCCCTAAAGATGCATAAGGAGTCATTATTTAGAATATTAAATCAATAATACATTTATTATTATTTTATGCATTTTTAATACACACTCTATGTATATTGTGTTTTAAGTTTTGTCCCGTGTATTTTAATATGTGTCAAAAGATATTTTAATATGTGCTTTTATGGAATATTTGTTAGTATTATGATGTATTTTAACTACGTTGTGCCCCTCCTCAAACTGTAAGGAAAGGCGGCTTATTATTATTATTATTATTATTATTATTATTATTATTATTATATACATAACAATATTAGTACACAACAAACTAGATCGCTATACTGGCTTTTTTATTTGATCATGTCAGACACTTCCCAAGTATCTAGGACTATGTGATGTATCGGCAAATAATGGGTGCATATCCAAGAAGGGTGGCCTTTTGCAGCTGACAGATGGTATTTTTTGTCAGTGCTGATTGTTTTTAAGTGCAGGCCAGGGTCTTTAGACACTGCACCCAGTGTGCTGATCACCACTGGGACCACCTTTACTGGCTTGTGCCAGAGTCTTTGCAATTCTATCTTTAAATCCTCATATAGTGTAAGCATTTCATTATTATTATTATTATTATTATTATTATTATTATTATTATTATTATTATTATTTGAAACACAACAAGATGAGTCCACAGCAGACAAGATCACTCTGCTGGCTGTTGTATTGGATCACACGTCGGACACTTCCCAAGTGTCTAGGACTGTGTGATGTATCGGCGAATAATGTGTGCAGATCCAAGTAGGGTGGTCTTTTGCAGCTGACAGGTGGTAATTTTGACAGCGCCGATTGTATTTAAGTGCACTCCAAGGTCTTTAGGCACTGCACCCAGTGTGCCGATCACCATTGGGACCACCTTGACTAGCTTGTGCCAGAGTCTTTGCAGTTCGATCTCTAAATCCTCATATTGTGTCAGCTTTTCAAGTTGTTTCTCTTCAGTTTTGCTGTCACCTGGGATGGCAACATCAACAGTTCATAGCAGTGGAACTCTCTGCCTCGGAGTGTGGTGGAGGCTCCTTCTTTGGAAGCTTTTAAACAGAGGCTGGATGGCCATCTGTCAGGGGTGATTTTAATGCAATATTCCTGCTTCTTGGCAGGGAGTTGGACTGGATGGCCCATGAGGTCTCTTCCAACTCTTTGATTCTATGATTCATACTTTGTTTTTTAACACGATTGTGAGGTCACGAGTATTGTGCTCCAGAACTCTGTCAGTGTGAATTCGGAAGTCCCAGAGTAGTTTGATTATTAATATTAAATAATCAGAGTAGCTTGATTATGATTATGTTTATTATTAATAATATGATTATTAATAATAATAATAATAATAATAATAATAATAATTGTTTTGACACTGAGTTCCTAAAATATCAGAGAGAGACAAATACCCAAGCAACCCTATATATGGGTCTACATTTAGTTGTCAACTTCCACTCAAAAAGAAACACATCACCTCCTGAATGTTCCTTTACTATTTCTCTAAAGTTGGGATAAAGAACAGGCAAGCCCCGATGATCGCCTCAAGGAGTCTGCAAGCAAGGAGTGCTTGTAGTATTTGCCTTGAATAATCCTTGGGACCCCACTCCCTTCCCCTGAAAAAGCCCCTTTCTACTCACCTCCTCTGAAGGCAACTCAAGGCAGGCAGAAAGGCACTGAAATGGGTCCTCCTTTGGCTCCAGAGCTGCTTCTCCACTGCTGGCGCCTCCTTGGCCACACCTGGCCAGGTATGCAGGAACAGGTTTGGCTGCCGCAGGGCAGGGCAGGGCCACAAGGCCCGGTGCTTTTTTGCATTTAACGTTTTGCATAAGAGCCATTGCCTCCTCCCCAGTTGAGAAGAGACTCTTGGCTCCTTTCGTGTTGGGGAAAAGAGAGCCACATCATTCTCCTTCTCTCCCTCCTTCTCCTTCAAAGAGAGGGAGCCTTTAAACAACCCTGCCTTTCATAGGAGCCTAGGTGTGTTTGAGGTTGAATTTCTGTCTGTGAAAGCAGACTCCTTTGACACACAGCCCCGATGTGCTGCGAGGCCCAGCAACAGATATAGACATACTAAGAACCTTGGGCTTCAGAATACCTCCCATGAGCCCATAAATGGTGTGGCTGGCAAGCCCTATTTGGACTGCAGCTCCCCAAATCCTGCACCATTGATTGCACAGCCCAATAACAACAACAGTATGTTGTTGAAGGCTTTCGTGGCTGGAATCACTGGATTGCAGTGAGTTTTCTGGGCTGTATGGCCATGTTCCAGAAGCATTCTCTCCTGAAGTTTTGCCCACATCTATAGCAGGCTTCCTCAGAGGTTGTGAGGTCTGTTGGAAACTAGGCAAGTGCGGTTTATAGTTTATTTATTTATTTATTTATCGCATTTGTATACCACCTTTCTCAGCCAGAGGCGACTCAAGGCGGTTCACAGTCGGCAGCGATTCGATGCCATAACAATTATTAAAATACAGTTAAAACAATTATAAAAACAATTCAACATTTAAAATGTAATATAAAAGAAACAATAACGTCTATAAAAACAAAATCCTCGACGTCTCTTTATTAGAATTGTTATCCAATTGCATTGTCGGTCGTTCCATATACTCGTTCCGTCTAATTATGCTCCAGTAGTAAAAGCTTGCTGGAAGAGCCAGGTTTTAACTATTTTGCGGAATGTTAGAAGTGAGGGAGCCAATCTTATATCCCTGGGAAGGGTGTTCCATAGCCAAGGGGCCACCACTGAGAAGGCCGTCTCTCATCCCCGTCAAACACATCTGCAAGGAAGATGGGATTGAGAGCAGGGCCTCCCCAGTCGATCTTAAAGTCCTAGATGGTTCATAAGGAGAGATACGTTCGGATAGGTAAGCTGGAGTAATGTCCAGGGTGGGAGAAAGAACTCTTGTCTGTTTGAGGCAAGTGTGAATGTTGCAGTTGGTCAACTTTTTTAATGTCAGGAGTGACTTGAGAAAGTGCAAGTTGCTTCTGGTGTGAGAGAATTGACCATCTGCAAGGACATTGCCCAGGGGATGCATGAATGTTGGTCACCTTGATTAGCATTGAATGGCCTTGCAGCTTTAAAGCCTGGCTGCTGGCTGCCTGGGGGAATCCTTTGTTGGGAGGTGTTAGCTGGCCTTTCAGTTGTTTACTGTCTGGAACTCCCCTGTTTTTTGAGTGTTCCTCTTTATTTACTATCCTGATTTTAGAGTTTTTTTTAATACTGGTAGCCAGATTTTGTTCATTTTCATGGTTTCTTCCTTTCTGTTGAAATTGTCCACATGCTTGTGGATTTCAATGGCTTCTCTGTGTAGTCTGACATGGTAGTTGTTAGAGCGGTCAGCATTTCTGTGTTCTCAATAATACGCTGTGTCCTAGGTTGGTTCATTGGGTGATCTGCTGAAAACTCACAGCAACCCAACAACAACAATCTCGATGTATTGATTTTTAGGTCTCTTCCTGTGGTTATTTGGGGCACTGATTTAAAAATTGCTTTGCATAGAGTGCATCTCCTATAGTTTAGTAGTTATGGTTATCATGATTTTCTGTGGGTGAGCAGACAACGACTGGTAGATGGCATATGTATATCTCAAAACGTAGAGCTGATGGGGGGAAAAACTGGTACCATTTTTGGAATCAGCAGGTCAAATGCCTATTGTCCGCTTTCTGTTTTTTGATATGGGTAAGTCTTTATAGGAGGTTTTCTGGAGACCAGAGTTCAATTCCTTCCTCATTTGTAGAAACCCACTGGATTATCTTCAGTGAGTCACACAATCTCAACCCCAGAAAACTCTGTAGTAGGGTTGTCTTAGTGTGACCATACACCAGAAAGGACTTGGAGGCACACAGCGACAACAATGAGGCAGAATCACCCAGGTCCTTTCTCTAAACTGGTGGTTCCCAGACTTTGGTCCTCCAAATGTTTTGGACTTCAGCTTCTTCAACCTGTTGCGGTTGGCTGCGCGGGTGGAGGGTTCTGGAACTGAAGTGCAAAAGAGCTGGAGGATCATCAGCCAGGAATACCTGCCTTAAGCTATACCTAAAGGGCCCAGGATATCACTTGAAATATGTAATCTCAAATGGTTTATGCAAGTATTTAGAGATGACTCATGAACTGAGGCCCTCAGCTACAGTATATCTGATGTATCTAATACTTAAGTCTGGTGTGGCCAGGGCTCCTTCTGTACTAATATGGTCTTTCAGTCCATTTGCAATTCATGGCAGCCTTCTAGCTATTTTTCTCTGATGGAGAATCGAGGTCTAGCCAGCCTACCCTGATCCCATCAAGCTAACTTAAGGTCTTACATTGGGGTGGAAGATGTTGTCAAATCACTACTGTTGAAGTAAAATGCAGCTCCCATCTCAGTCAGATTCTGTAGATGGAATGGATGATGGGGTGCCATTTTATTTTATTTTTTCTTTTAGGCTGCAGAACATTTTGGGTTGGCCTACCCATCATCCCTGACTCACATGGCAAAGAAAGATATTTGAGAAAGGTCTTTGATCACACCACCATCACACGCACATTTTGCGAGTTCACAGAAGAGCATCTAAAAGCCTTAACATAGGTTGGGGGTGGAGAGCATGTGATCCTTCAGATATCAGGATGTAATTTCCATCAGCCTTTATCACTGGCTAATAGAGGTTTACAGACTGATACACCGGTTTGCTGGACATTGCAACCTTCTCAAGCATCCTCTAGTTTTTGTTATGTATATAATTGCTTACTGTATTGTATATGTATGTATTGGTTTGCAGTTTTCTTTAATCTCTTTGTTGTGGGAGTGGCTCCAGACCATGCAATCAGAACTGGGCTTGTTCAAGACTCTGACTCCATTTTAGAAGATATATGCTTCAGACTTAAGGGAGTTCAGTTTAGACTTCAGTAGAGAAGTATGCCTTTGAAACTTCAATGCAGGAACTATATTTTTAGAGACTAGACAGTATATTAGATGCTCAAAACAGAGAGATGCTTTGGACTATTGATTCTAGGAATGATGCCCTGTGTTATCCGCAAAGAGAAACTACTTCAGATTCTACCTGGGCAAAAGTATGATAGCTAGGACCCTACGCTGGTTGCGCAACGCAGGTCTGAATGAGGTGAACACGTGCGTGAGGCAGCGCAGTGAGTGAGAGATGCAGCCGCATCAGAGTCCTGGGAACATTGTTCACCTGAAAGGGGGAGAGGAAACATTTCTACCCCATTTACCGTCTTCGTAAGCTGTTGCTGGTGATAGTATGATAGCTGGGACCCAGTGTCTCTAGGGTTACGCTGTTTCCAGAATACTGCTTTGAGTACACAGATTGCGGAACACAGGCGCAGGATGAGACCACTGGAATAATTTAACGCAGGCGGGACACAGATAACAGTGAAGGTATGTAACAGTTCTTTCGTGAAAAATGATAAACAACAGTTTAAGAAAGGGTTTGGGAAGACATTAAACATCATAGAAATCAGCAGTCTGACCCAAAATATTATTAAACGGTTCAGTATTTTTCCCAGCCCACATCCACCCTGTCCACAAACTGGAAGCCATTCGGCACAAATTCAACGTGCTTGCCAAAAACTCTGGGGCAGCTCTGTTGTCCGAAACTGCTCAATAAACTGGACTAGATTCATTTTACGCCACTCCTCCTATTCCCCCCCTTTATATCCTTCCTTCTAATACACTACAAACTATCTTCTCGACCCCCCCCCCCCCCGCATCTCTCAGTCCGCCTGCTCTCACTCCGCCCCACAAACTGGAAGCCATTCGGCACAAATTCAACGTGCTTGCCAAAAACTCTGGGGCAGCTCTGTTGTCCGAAACTGCTCAATAAACTGGACTAGATTCATTTTACGCCACTCCTCCTATTCCCCCCCTTTATATCCTTCCTTCTAATACAACTACAAACTATCTTCTCGCCCCCCCCCCCCCCCCCGCATCTCTCAGTCCGCCTGCTCTCACTCCGCCCCCTCTCTCAACCACATGGTCAGACACATATTCCCTTCCCTCATTCACAACCGCCGTTGCACTATCAGCATAATGCTAGTGGCACTGGGTCCCAGCTAGCATACTATCACCCTGTTGTTTATCATTTAACAGTAAATAACTCTAACATTACTTCACTCGCCTTAAGCACTATGCTTGGATGTTTGTTGTCCTCCCCCCTTCTGACCCACGTCTTCCCATCATTAATTCTGACCCACGTTGCGTAAGTAGCATAGCGTAGGGTCCCAGCTATCATACTTTTGCCTCTGTCTATAACTGGATTGAAAAGCAACGTACCTGTATGCTGAATACATGAAGTATGTAAGTAAAGTATGTTATATTTAAAGAGGACTATATATTTTTGTCTCATAATTTAAAGGCAAATATATCTTAAAGGAGAATAGACTTTTTTGGGCAACTAAAAAGAACACTTCTGAAACTCTAATGAAATATATATAAAAGCTGAGAAACCTAGTTGCCTTGCATGAATGCTGGTGAATGCCATTTCTCCAAAAGGTTATGACCCCAACAGGTCGTGCCTTTTACCAAGAGGTTATGGCATCATTTTTCAAAAAGTTGCGGCTTCTAACAAGGTCATCCTTTCCAAAGATCATAAAATCTCCAAAACGTTTTGGAGATTTCCATTTTCCAAAAGGTCATGTGACCAGTGGTTTTCCAAAATGGTTTTTCTTGCCACAGCATCATATGTGCAGTCTATTTAGCCATTCACTATTATGCAAGCCATTATTGCCAAACCAATGCCATCTTTTGCCCTGCATGGAGTTTCCACTCCGTCTCCCCCATCCCTTTGCAAACTGCAACAAGACTGCAGAATTAATTGAGAGTCTGGGCACCAGGAATCTACAAAACATCAAAC